CCACCCACCCCTCCATGTGGCCACTAACCTCTTTGGTTAAGTCTCCACTGACTGGAGGGGCTACAGCCCCCAAATCCTCCAAATCTTCACTGAATCCCTGTTCCGTTTCGCTTTCTCGCACCCCGTTGTCTGGGCCTGTCACATCTTGGAGGCCACTGGAACTCTCGAGGGCAAGGCCTGAACTGGGCTGGCTGCCAGAGACAGACCCCTCTGGATCCCGGTGGACCAGCCAGGCGTTTACCTCAGTGGTCGGCACCTGGAACCTGTCCAGGGCCCTCACCTGACTGAGGAGCCGCCGGGCAGTGAAGTAATTGTCCAGGTCTATGCTCTTGGGGTGGATACCATAGCCATCCAAGGTATTCCTCAGGTTGTGGAACTGGGTCTGAGTATAGGCAGAACTGGGCCCCAGGATGATCTCCCGGAGCGGGGGGAGCTGTGAGGTCAGGTAAGTATCCACGTCCACCCGCACCCCAATCAAACTCAGCAGAATGGTGAACTGGAGGAGTCCTTCCGTTAAGTATTTCTTCAGAGAAAGCATTGCTGAAGGACCAGAATGTTTATGCTTTTTGGTTTTTAAATCTTCCAAAAGACAAATCAAGGCCACTGCTCTGCTGCTCCAGCCAGCAAATTACTCCCCTCAGTGCCAAACCCTGTACCCCACCTTGGCAGAACACAGGGGCTGAGCTCCCTGATGGCCTCAGAGGAAAGCACACCCCGTGGAGGCAAGGCCACACTCCAGACCACATTCACTTTTTCCTTCTCGACACCTCACCTGTGAAAGTACAACTGTTCCTAACCCAGTCCAGGCCTCAGGGCCCACGTGACTTACTGTCTCCACAGTCCACATACAGTCACTTCCTCACTCACATTAGTTGTCCTCTCTGTAGATTCCACTGCAGGCTGTTCTCGGGAACAGCTGATGGATTTTTTTTCCTTCTCTCTCCTAAGGTTTATTTTCTTTGGCTGGAACTACAGGCCTTTTGTCTTGGGTCAGAGTGTCCCGCCTCCTCCCCACTTACCAGGGGGGTTTCCAGAGAAACCTGAAATGGGAATAACAAGAGCAACAGGATTAAGATTCCATAATCTTCACACCATGATCAAGGCAGAAGGTAGGAAAGACATTAAAGGCTAGTTTTACAGGAGGAAAAGTAAGTCAATTATCATACTTCCCCCAAAACTAGAAATCTGGTATAGACAGGACAACTAGAAAAGGAAGGTATTGCTCACAAAGGACCAAAGAATACCTGTTTCTGTAGATTAAACTGGCAATCCCCTAAAAGGTAGCTTGTTGTGGATAAGCAGACAATGCCCAGGGCATTCGAAATATTTTACATGTTGTCTGATTTACCAACCCTCCCTGCCCCCACACTATACACACACTACCCAGCTTCTATTTTTATCAGAAGTCCATTTCCTATCTTAAAGGAAAACTGGCTGCCCATCTCTCAGGAGAAAACTGCCCACAATCCTGGTCCCTTCCCATTCTGAAGAGGAGGATGAGATTATTAATGGATTAGAGTGGAAAAGGACACGAGGAACATGTTCAGGCCACCACTTCACAGAAAAGGATAATGATTTTGTTTCCTAACTTTGAAATCTGATTTCCTTTTCCCATCATTCTCACATTAAAGAAAAGCGGGGGGAGGGAGGACTGAGGGGGAAGCTGAGCCAGGATTAATTAGTCCAGAATTTGCATAGACAGGTTTTATTTTCATTCGCATGACCTCCTGAACTAAAACAAGGATAGATGGCCAAGTTCTCAACCTAGAGAGCCAAGTGGGGAAGGAGTAAACCTACCTGTCTTTCAGTTTTTGGTCTCTACTACTGGGCTTCCTTTAACCTTATAAACCAAGACATAGCTCTCTTCACTGTTATGACCCACCCACCAACTTCATCCTAAGGGGGAAGAGGGATCTACACTTCACTCTCTCTCACTCACACACACCCTTATTTGGTTAAACACAACTGTGACCCAGAATTCCAGCTTACCCTATCCTCCCGTTCTCACGCAATTTATTACTAAAACCTCCCAAGAGCCAATTAAGTTCGAGAAACCAGACAAGGCCCCTTAAGGATCAAGGAAGGCCAGAGGCCTCTGGTCTGAGCCCAGTCCCCCCTGCCCGGGATACCCGACTCCGGCTGGGACCAAGTCGCCATGCCCGCTCTCGGCGCCTCGGCCTCTAGCCTTCTGGGGCAGCAGCGAACAAGTGCTACTTTCCTGGCCTTGACCCACCCTTACGGCCAAGCCCCACCCCGCCCTCCGTCCCCAAGGCCCCACCCCACGCCCAAGCCCCGGCCTAATACCACGCCTTCTTGTGCCCGCAAGCCCTCCCCAGTCCAACCCACCCGGGAGCCAGCTTTCCCCACGGCCTCGCGGC